TTCACAACAGGATGAGCAGAATTAACCTCATTTATAATAGCCATTGTTGCGTTGGTAAGAAAATGCACATGGTTGTCATCCTGGGGTTGTAACAGTTGTCGAGCAACATTATTTGTACGCCCAAGAGGTAAAATTCCAATAGGTAAATGTTCAGTGAGAGATATATCACCCTTTAAACGTCTTAACAATCCAGTTACTACCTACAACAAAATTTTAATCTATTAGTAATAACTTTGTACTTTTCATCTTTTCATAACTAATAGGTTGTTAGTTGTAGTTTTGAAAATGTACCTAAAAATTAAATAAATAAATATTCATTCAAATATATACTATAATTTTAATTTTAGTTTAAAAGTCTAGGCAAACATTCCATTACTTAATTTTTCATTAGGTATAATTAAATATTTTATATTGGGGTAACCAGATTTTTGGATAAACTTTAATTGAAATGGTAAGTAAACACAAAATATATAATATAGTTTCAGTTGGGATAAGCAAGAAGTGTTGCCCAACTATTTTTTTCATACTCCTCTTGTACATTTTCAAAAATTTCAGTTTCCTATAATTAAATTATGAGAGTAAAGGCATCAATTGTTTTTTAATTAAGTATATACATTGTGTTTTATTAAAAATTTTAGTTATATCTTTTTCAAATTAAATAAAATACAATTGTATAAGTAATATTAATTTTAAAAATACCTCTGATAAAGTGCCATCACCTCCAGCTACAATAAGAGCATCCGTTTCGCCTATTAAATTTTCTACCAAACTTCTAGCGCCGCCTTCTCGTTCTGTTATTAGGATTGTAACTGAGTAACCAGCCAAGTATAATAGAGGAGCACAATATTTTTCAAAATCTGATTTAGAGTTTCTGAATATAATACAAAACCAAAATGAGAATTTTAATTATGTTAAGACCAAAAAAATTTTAAAAATAAGATATACCTTTTGTTAGCGGCTGGGTTCAATATAACTGTTACTTTTTTTGGTTTTTTATCTACTGACAATGGCATATCTCCATAAGCCGAAACAGTTTTACAGCATTGAGACATAAACATGTGAGTCCTAAAAATAAAAATAAGCTAAATTCTTAACAAATATCAATTACAAAACACCAGAAAATAACAATGTTATGTTATTGTAATAAAGGTCATAGTATTAGGAATAACATTGATTATTTTGTTTAGATTACACTTAATCATTATTATTAACCAAACCGTCTAAAACTAATCAACAAACGAAATAGGTAGTGTAGGTAGTTGTAAGTAAGGGGTAAATCACTGAAATAGGTGCCTACTGGCTACTTTGTAAACGAGTACAATTTGAATAAGCAACAATCCTAATTATTATATCACCTCACCAATAACACCAGAGTGTAGATGAATAGATTCCTAATAGAAAAAGATCATTTCAGAGAGATTAATAGGTACTCACTCATATTTTTCGTTGGCGAAATTTGCACCGTAGGACAGGACAGCGGTGAAGAACACAGACTTCTTCCAATTGTTCCTAATAGTTTTAAAAACTCCGAATACTTTAGCCATGTTGAACGTGAAACCTGAGTTACCGTGATAAATTTAAAATATTTATTAAATCATTTAAATCGTTTTTGCAATATTCACTAACGTTATGTGATAAGTGATAGCGCGTTATCGGCGTTAAATAAAAAAAGTGATAAACTGATGAACAATCGTACCGAATAGGTACTGGTTATATTATAATGATTAATGGTTGATGTTTTTGACAATTAATAAACCGTTCTTACCAGTCAGTGTGCAGTGTCCTATTATAATAATAATTATAGTTTTTGGTACCTATAATGTGTATTGAGTATCTGACTATTTCAAATATTTCTATTATTCTAAATTCAATTATGTGGTCAAACGCCTATAATAAAACAATAAACAAACTATGAAACCATAAATTGTGACAACAGTAAATAAATAGATCCAATCATGGATCTGTCATTTTATATTCACCTTTCAAGATCCTGATCCTCCAAGAAATACTTTAAAAAATCAAGCTTAAAACACCGGTGCTTAAAATGCTCTGATATCAACGTTTTTAAAGCTTTTAAATCACTTTTTGCTACCTTCAATTTTTCTAATTTTCTTTATTTTAGATTCTGTGCGGACTGCGGAGCGATGAGTGTATTAATTTTACAATAGTGGGTGTGTTTTTTTTTTTATCTACAAATCTCATCATCTTTTGGGATAATAAAAATTAAAAATGCTTTGATTTCATAAAAATGGAAGTGGTTTCTGGCATTAAAGTGGATCTAGTTGGTACTTGAAGGATCAAAACTCAAACATTAAAAATTCCCAACATTATTTTTTTTAAACAGAGAAAATGAAAAAAAAAAATGAAGAAAAAACAGTAAGTTTTATAGAAATCAAATTTTTGACAAAATCGATTTTGTTTTGGTGTAACTTGAAAACAAATAACTGTAGAAACTTGAAATTTTTACCAATATCTTAGTTATCATTTTTTACTCACTATAACATTTTCAAAATATTACTACTCTTTTTGAGAAATTTATTGGTATGGGAAATTTTCAATAAATATTCTTTACAAATTATATAGACTATGTTACTATTGTTAAATTATAGACAATGACAGTTTTTACTTTTTTTAGTTTAATTTAGTAGTGAGCAGTAATCCCTAAACAGCCTCAACACTTATTGACTACTGCTCAGCAGTGTGATACCCATTGGTCAACCTTTTTACTCGTAGTTGTTTGCCATATACTTACATCACTATCAAGTCTTGTAACTGTAAGCTTTTTTAAGCATCGTTCGAAACTTGATAGGTTTATTTATTTTTTCTATTTTTTTATCAGTTGTATATTTTTAGATTGTGATTGAACCTAAGACTACAGAAACAAATTCACAACTAAGAGAGATCATAAATTAAATTTTATTTTTTAATATTCTAGAATGAACAATTATTATATGATATATACTTCACAAAACGTTTTAGACAGAGTTTAGTCAAATCTACCATTTTTAAAAATTTAAGTCTACTTCTACATCAAATAAAAATATCTTATGTTTTGTTTTGGATTTGTATTCTCATTATTTTTGAAAAAATTTAATCATATTCAGTATTCCATTTATATCTAAGGTAAACTGATTAAAACTAAAGGTTTAAAGTATTTCTTTATCCTGTCTATAAGGATTTTATGATGAGTTGACAAAATAATATTACATTTGACACTTAATGTAAGTACTAATTTATATTATAATTTTATTCATGCAATTAATATATCAAGTTACAGTGAAAACTGTCTAATGTAGAATAGCATGGGACCAATCAAAAATTCAGTTTTAAGCAATTTTCGGGATTATAAATTCATATTAGTTTTTTACATTAAAAAATTAGTTTATAACATTAATAATTCTTATTTTTTAAGATAGAGACTAGTTATAAACTTAATTTATTACTTTATTTTATATAACTCATTTTAGATTAATTACAGGCTTATTATTTTTTTTAATTATTAACAATTTATACATATTACATAAGTATGAAGGTTGAAAATTAAATTTAAACATTTAGCTTTTCTAAAAATCATGTAGAGTTTTTGTTTTGTCACTGTTGTTGATATTATTCTAATATTATACGTATTTGAATGAACATCACTTAGTATGTACAAGCAAACTGTTGGTGCATAACTGTTTCACAGCTATACATTATACATACGGGATAAGTTTGTTTCATAGATACAATAACCAAAAAATACAAATTACCTAACTAATATATGTAGTGCAGATTTATCTTGATTATCGTTTTATGATGTACCTACATATTATTCATATCAACATAACATAACGCATGTCATATTTTCGGCTTATATAAGGTTTTTACTTGCATTGAACAAACAAAACCGTTCCGTTTTCGCATTAGGAAGGTTCCGTTTTATTGAGGTTCAACGTTTATATAAAATTATAAGAACATGTCGGAACCACAGAAAAATTCCGTATTGGATAGTTTTCCATTTTATTCAGGGTTTGCATTACAGTTTTCACAGTATAAGTTATCATTATGATTCACAATTATATTATAGTTTAAAAAAGACGTATCAACACTACAATGTGAGACAAAAATGTTGTTTCATAATGACCTGTATTTAATTTCATAAACTATTTAATGTATACAAATGAACAGAAAAATTTATACTAAAGCAAATTGCCCAACAATGTAATTAGTAATTACTAATTACACATATAATATGGTGTATATCTTGAATGAACACATACATTAATTAAAACGTCTAAGTATCACTGTTCTAAGACCATGTGCTTGTGTGCATAAAAAAACGACAAATTAATAATTATAATAATTACTAAGTTTACAAAAAATAATTAAATGATTTAAATAACTATTACATTTCACTTGCTTAACAATATTAAATTCAATAACAATATTATTTTAATAATAATACAATGTGTCAATACTCGCACTTGGTGTTTACCAAAAGGCACATGATAGAAATGTTTATTTAAACATAAATAAACAATTATATTATTCATTAATTAATGATACTGTTATATGTAACAAAATAATCATAGTAATACGTATTAAAAGTAGCAATTGTAATAATATATAATAAGTAATGATAAAAGATTAAAAAAAATTAGTATAACAACTTAATAGTTAGATAGCTAGTACCTACGAGTAGTCAATTTGGTAGGTACTGAAATATATGTAGTGTCTTTTATTAACAGTACATTTTTGACCTCTCTAAATGAAACAATAATAAGTAACTTTAATAATAATAATACTGTTAGTCGTTTACTCGCAAAATAGAAACATAAAATTATTTGCGTTTATCCAACTAAACAAATGACAAACATTACACAATATTTATGATTTTGATTATTTGGGTCGATAATTTTGGTAAAGCATATTAACTCCATATAATATACCGACAAACAAATTTACAAAAACATAATAATAATAATAATAATAACTATGTAAACTTAGTTAATCTAAAATTATTAATTAACATAAAAGACAGTCTTTTGGCAATGTAATGTGTGTTAGTAAAAAATAAATAGCATTTACTTTGAATATAAAATAATAACTTAAAATAATGTACTCAACTAATTCAAAAATATATAAGAAGTTAAATTGTAACGACACGAAACAACAGTGACTATGAGCAGCACACATTTCTTTTAGTAAAACATTTATACACATATAATACATATAATAATAATTTATATAAAAAAAATATAATAATAATTAAAAAAAAAAAACAAAAAATATAAACAACTGTTACTTTCAGTCAGGGTGTTTATCGATGTTTTGAAAAAACCAGTGTGTGAAGTGTTTAAGTTGCTGTGCAGCGCTGTTAGATTCATCTTGTAATCGACGATTTTCTTCTCTTAAATGTTTTACCTCGTTTTGCAACTCCATTCGCATTTCCATTTCACTTCGCAACATCATTTCCAAATCATCTGGACTCATGTTTGTTCTAATAAATGCATAGCTTAATTAAATAGACTGCCGCATAAAATATTGATTGATAGAAAATAGAAAAATATTTACTTGTTCGTACTAGAAGAATTTAATATGGTAACACTACCACCATTCATGCTATTCCAATTTTGATCTTTATTTTCATTGATAGTAGTAGTCTCTGGTTCTTTGATTTGAGCGCCAGCTGATACTTTACGTAATGCTTCAGTAGCTGTATCAACAAGAATTTTCCAATTCATTCGATCAATTGGAGTGTCTGGTAGTGGCAAATCAGCAACACTAGAATAGTAAATAACTTTATCAATACAGGAAATATATTTTATTTATTCAAAAAACTAGAATATAGTATACTACACAATGATGATATCACTAATACTTAAATTACATTGTTAATTATTATCAATACTTTTAATACCTTTCAACCTGATTCAGTGGTTTCATTTCACTTAGAGCTGGACTTGGTGCACTAGATATGACAGTGGCAGGACGAGCTTTGGTAAGAATAACTTGACCCTGCTCTACATTTGATACATTTTCTCTTGATGGATTCTTATTTATTGTGGTTTTAGTATCCTGTTTATTAACATAGTAATTTTTAATTCATAATTTTTCTATATACCTGCAAGGTTTTTTGGTAATGGGTGTGATAAGCCTGCGGACTTCCAGTCATTGGCATAGAAAAAATGAGGAGATGAGCCACCATGAAATTATATCCAACTTTTAATGTCAACAACCAAAATTTTAAAAGAACAAAGCAATTCAAATAGTTTGGGTCAGAGAAATGAAATAAAAAAAAGAAATAGGTACAAGCATTTAGTTGCAAAATCACAATCACTTTCAAAGGATTTAAAAAACAGTTAAAATCACATTAATATGACTTATAATTACTTATGGAGTCGAGACATGGCTCATTAGTAAAAAATGATGTAAGAAAACTCTTAGTTCTGGAGAGGAAAATATTGCGAATAATTTTTTTACCTGTAAAGGACATGCTAAGTGGTAAGAAGAAAATAAAAGTGATGGAATTAGAAACACTCTACCATAAACCCTGTATACTAGAAACAGTAAAGTATAAAATATTATGGACATACTTAGCATAATCAAAAACCACTCATCATAATATAGTAATATAAGAAAATTCTATTGAGAGAAGACTGCTGGGAAGGCCACATTTGAGATGGGAGGACATAGTGAGAAATGATGTGAAAGCGTTGGAAGTTTAGATAAGAAGATATAAACATCAGATAGAAAAAACTAAATGCAAGCACATATATTGAGATGGTCTTAGTAGCTGAATTTACCTTAAAAGAAGAAGGAGAAGAAGTTTCTATGTTAACTGTACAGGTGAAATAAACAAAACTTACAATGAAAGATGAATCTAAATTATAATCAGGATCTATTAATTTCATCAGATCTTCTTGTAATGTACTCATATTGCCACTGAGTCTACTGCTTGCATTTGAATTGCGTCCAGAGATACCAGGTCTAAGTCTTGGTTCACCTCTATCCAATCCAGATCGAGGGCTTTGGTTTCGACTGCCATTGTTCTTCAAACTTTTACGATGACTATGGGGTGATCCAGTACTACTGCTTCCAATTGTAGAAACATCATCTTTTAAAGAGGAAAAAATCAATCATAAATTTATTATTTAATATTTAAATTATAGTGTTATGACAACTACCTTCACTAGCTACTAGGATTCTTTCATTCAATGTTTCTGGTATGTTACCATTGCTTAAATTCTTTTTAAAGTGATTGGTGTCAATCAAACCACTTGTATTTTCTAATTCAGGGCCACTTGTTGCCTGAAAAGTAACAAGATTAAATACATAATTATAAAATTACTCATCATTTATATATATATTTATATTACTAACCTTAACTAATCGTTTTGTTGATCTTCGTGGTTGTTCTAAACGGTCGTCAAATTGTTTATGGAGATCATTATTATGGTCAGAAGACTTGTTCAAAAAATCATACTGTTGAGCAGCAACACTTTTACTACTCCGTGGATCAGAATACACAGAAAATGAATTATTCATAGTAGACAATGGTAATGAATTGCTTGCATGCACTTTAGAATGGGTTTTGGTTGACGTTGGTGTCAACCTTGAGGGGACAGGTGGAGGATCTTCTAATGGAACTTCTAATAGATCGTACCAACGATCATCAGATGAATGACCACTTGATGAACTTGTCAATGTACCCTGTAACAATATTATAAAGTAATCAATATAAATAAACTTATACAAACATATATCATATTTATATAATAAATAACAAATTTTATAGTCTAATTGAGCTCAAATACTAAATTTACTTTTGTAATCTGTTTGTTTTTCACAGTGGTGTAATTATTAGATAAAACTCAAAATCTATGATTATCTTAGTAATATAATGATACATCAAAAGTCTGTAAATTTAATTTAGTAAAATATGAGTATTATAATGAAATTATATTTAATTAAAATCTCTATATTTTTAGCTACTGAAATGTTAAATGAAAGAAAAAAGTTTTATATTTATTGGAATTTTTTAAATTTTGTTTTCATTAGAAACTGTCAAATATATTGATTTTAATTTCAAAAATATGAGCTGTGATAAAAATGTTGTTAACAGTGTTTTAAATTATATTCATAGCAAATTTTAATTAAACATTTTAAATTGATAAAAATTAGCATCAATTTCAAAAGAAAAGCACAAACCTTAAAATTGTATGATTTAACTTTAATATATAAAAATATTTATATCATATATAAATCATAATAAATAACTTCATTTTTAACAAGATCCCCTTACTAAAAATATATATGAGTACATACATATTTAAATTCAATAACCATTTTTACCATTAATAAAGAATTGTTTTTAATACATAATGATTAATAACCATTAAACTAATATTTTAGTATTTTCATGCAAAATTAATTAAAAATATCTTTGTGATAACTACTTTTTATAGTTGTCCAAAACAATAGTTTTATCAATTTTTTACAACTCATGCTATGAAGAATAATAACTATATTATATTGGTGGTTTTCTGTTTGTTTCTACATTAAATATAAAAAGTTATGAATAAACTATACATGAATTATTAATTAAGTGCAATAAATTTAAATTAAAGCAAGCCAACATTTTTACCTTTTGTTTAAGTCAGGCCTGATGGAAATAAATTAGTTTAATAGCCTAAATAGCTTTAATAGCCTATGGTAATAAAAAATTAATTCGATACCAGTTAATCAAAAAAGTTTCTAATAATTTTTTGTCAATGAATAATTATTAAACAATTAGTAAATTTTAATGTGAAAAAAATCAAAAAGTGTTTTTTTTATAGTAATTAATAATGAATATTTTTAATCATATCATTAATGATATGTTCAATAAAAACATAATAATTGACATCTGTTAACATTTCTGTAAAAATGAAAAATGAAAAATAAAAATTTTTTGGGACTTGACTAACTACTTAACCCGAGATTTATTTATACTAATTATTCACTTATTCAATTCAACTCAATGGATCATAGGACCAACTGTTTAACTACCATTTGTATAACTTACCTCAGGATTTTGAGGAAAACGAGTATCCATT